TCCCTCCCTGTGTCCCTGCCACCCCCCACTGAGTGTCCCCCAATGTCCCAGTGTCCCTGTCCCCTCTGTCCCCCACCTGTGGCACACACGGACTCGGGGCATCATGGTGGCCCCATACTGCAGGGACGAGACGCGGTGACAGCCCAGGGAGTAACGGGCCTGAGCCAGGGACAGCCACCCCTGCGGGGACATCGGGGACATTGGGGACACAGCAGGGGGACATTCACCCCTGTGGGGTCGTCGGGGACATTGGGGATACAGCAGGGGGACATTCACCCCTGTGGGGTCATCGGGGACATTGGGGACACAGCGGGGGGACATTCACCCCTGTGGGGTCATCGGGGACATTGTGGACACAGCGGAGGCACAGCCACCCCTGTGGGAACATCAGGGACATCGGGGTCACAGCAGGGGGACAGCCACCCCTTGAAGGGGACACAGGGACATGGCACTAGGGACAGTCACCTGGGGGGACACAGGTGCCACCCTGGCATGTCCCTTTGTGTCCCCACAGTGGGTGACATGTCCCCCACAGGATGTCCCAGGACGGGTGGTGTGTCCCCAGGCACGTCCCCACAGCAGGGAAGTGTCCCCAGCTGTGTCCCCATGGGGCTGGCACACCCCTGTGGCAGGTGGCACCTGCCCGGTGTGCCCCTGTGGCAGGTGGCACCTCCTCGCACGTGTCCCCACGAGGGGTGGCGTGTCCCCCTTGTGTCCCTGCCGTGTTCCCGTGTCCCCTCACCTGCCGCAGGTGCTGCTCCAGCTGCTCCCGCCGCTGCTGCAGCAGCTCCAGCGCCTCCATCACCTCCAGCGCGGCCTCGTCCAGCGACAGCGACAGCGACCCTGCGGTTGTGGGGGGGGACACGGCTCAGGACCCCAACCAACACCCGGGGGGATACCTGCGGCTCCCCCAGACCCACCAGAACCGCTCTCCCCCGCCCGGGGACCGGCCCGGAGTCCCCGCGGTGCCACCCGCGTCCCCGGGACCCCCCAGGCCCTCACAGACCCCACCAAAACTCCCCCAGGGCCCCGGAAACCCGCTCACAAAACCCTCGGGATCCCTGAGACCCCCCCCAAAACGTTCCCGGTCTCCTGGAGACCCCCAGAAAAGCCCCCGAGACCCCCACCGAACATCCCCGGGACCCCCAGAGATCCCCAAACCCCGCGGAGCCCCCAGACCTCCCTCACCGTCCATCGCCGCCTTCACCGCGGCCTCAGGCCTGGCCCCGCCTCGTCCAATCGCAGCCCGCCCCGACACTTCTCGACCAATCAGCGAGCGCAGCACGCCGGAGGGCGGGGCCTGCGTGAGGCCCGGCACAGCAGCGGGGTGAAGCCCACCCGGCCGCCATCTCGAGTGAGGGCGCGGCGTTTTCCGCCCCTTTCCGGCAGCACCGCGCGCTCCCATTGGACCAGCAGCGCTCGGCCAATGGGAAGCGGTGGTACTGGGAGGTGCCGGCGTGTGAGGAGCGGCGCGGAGCCATCGCGACCATGGTGAGGGGCGCGGGGTTGGGTCGGTGGTCCCGTGTCCCCCCATGTCCCCGCCTGTACCCCACCCTCATGGTGCCTCTGGCCTCCCTCCGTGTCCCCCATGCTCTCATTTCCATGCCCCTCACAACGAGCCCTCCCCCCTGCCCAGTGTCCCCATGTCCCCCCTCACGCGTCCCTCACTCCGTGTCCGCTGTCCCCTGATTCCCCCTGATGATGTCCCCGCTGTCCCCCGCTGTCCCCCATCCCTCGGTGCCGCCCCTCGGCTCCCCCGCCGTGCCCCCCACCCTCTCATGTCCCCCTCACCGGGCCCGTCCCCGCACCCCGCCGGTGTCCCCGCCGGTGTCACCTCCGCCTGTCCCCGCGTGGCAGCTGCGGCGCCAGGCCCGGGAGCGCCGGGAGTACCTGCAGCGCCGGGCCAGGGAGCAGCAGCAGCAGCGGCAGCGGGAGCGCAGGGAGAGCCTGCGGCGGGCGCTCGACGGTACCGGGGCACGGGGAGGGGGAACAGAGGGGCTGGGAGGGGGGCAAAGGGACCGGGGAGAATTTGGGGGGCTTACAGGGGGCTGGGGGGGAGTTAAGAAGAGATCCCGGGTGTGTGAAAAGGGGGCTGGGGGCGGCAGAGGAGATTTGGAGGAGGTGAGGAGAGTTTTGGGGGGATACAGAGGA